ATCCTTTATTCTGAAGCTTAGTAGTGGAATCAATGTTGTTGTGTGTTACGGGCGATAACCAATTAATTTATGAGACATCATGTAGGCCATGAGGTCGTCCACATCTGTACCAAACTTGTTTGTCTGTAGGTCGCTCGACATTATTTTCTCGTTTTCTGCGTAGACTAATCCATATCCTTGTTTGTTATTACACTTAGTTCAATATAAATTTGATTTGAGCGTTTAAGATCAAGGCTAAGTGATTATCACGTTTTTAAGTTATGCCTTAAATGGCTCTCACAGGCTAGTGATAGCTGGGGTTCTGCTCATGAAAGCAGTTGCGATACTAGGCACGTACCACATGCTATATGCACTATTAAGTGTGCTTATAAGTGTTTTAATATCGATCAAAAAGGATGTTTTGGGTGTTGCAAAAGCAGGATTTACTAATAAGCTTGCGTCTAATTATAGTGCCAAAATTATAGGCATCGGGACATAGAGGGAATCTGTCGCTGCTAATGGCATAAACTATATACGTGTTTTAATGTCGATTAAAAAGGATGTTTTAGGTGTCGAAAAGCAGGATTTACTAATAAGCTTGCGTTTAATTATAGTGCTAAAATTATAGGTATCGGGAGATGGGGGGAATCTGTCTCTGCTAATGGCATAAACTATATAAGAGTTTTAATGTCGATGAAAAATAATGTTTTGGGTGTTGCAAAAGCAGGATTTACTAATAAGCTTGCGTCTAATTATAGTGCTAAAATTATAGGTATCGGGAGATGGGGGAATCTGTCTCTGCTAATGGCATAAACTATATACGTGTATTAATGTCGATTAAAAAGGATGTTTTAGGTGTCGAAAAGCAGGATTTACTAATAAGCTTGCGTTTAATTATAGTGCTAAAATTATAGGTATCGGGAGATGGGGGGAATCTGTCTGTGCTAATGGCATAAACTATATAAGAGTTTTAATGTCGATGAAAAAGAATGTTTTGGGTGTTGAAAAAGCAGGATTTACTAATAAGCTTGCATCTAATTATAGTGTTAAAATTATAGGTATCGGGAAATGGGGGAATCCGTCGCTGCTAATTGCATAAACTAAATGTCTGTCATCTGCTAACCAGGATTAGCTATAGCACAATAAATGCTCACGGTCGTAAGATTGTGACCAATTCATAATTAATTGCATAGTTTAATACCACTGTCGTCTGTTAGCGTTCGTAAACTGAAATAAATAACATTTCAGTAGCGGCAAACGAATGTCGATGTCTCATTGTTTCTAGTTCTGCTCGGTTCTCGATTGATCAATTTATTTCTTCAGTATTAAAATCGGTTTTGTGCGGACATTGTATTTTCATATTGCATATTGAAGTACTGCAGTTTTATCGTTGCCTTATTATGGAAATCATTATGGTCACGTTCCGGTAATGTACTTTAAATTTATTTAATATTGTCCAATGCTGAATGTATGCTTCTTTCGATATCCGCTGTTGGGCCTGTTCTTATATTATTCTTATTTTCTTCTTGCGTATGACTATTTGCTATTTATCGCAGATAGCATCAAGTTTTTTCGAATGTGTTAATGGTTCCCGCAATATTTAGAGGCCGCAATGTAAATATCGAGGTCAGGATATATTGTACTAGAGTTATAGCTGTCTTCGAGAAATAAACTGGTACTAACTCGCTCAGGTTTCCAAGATGACCCTCGACACATAGTCGTAATAGATAAAGAAATTTAATGTCATATTTAGCTCTGTAACGCTAATTTATGAAAACTTTTCGTTCATTTCCAAGTAAGCGTAAGCGAATTTGGTTTTTTATCATTAAGAAAAGGTAGAGCATATGACCCGCCTGATTATGATTTAACAGTTCATAGAAAGATATGGCACATCGTATATGCAGTGATAACTGGAACTTATAGTATGTGAGAATGGACAATGAATACGGATGGATAATGGCGGGGATTGGACAATAACCATGTGTGTAACGCAAATTGTTGTTGTTTGTAATCTGAACAATTTACAAGATGCTTAGACTTGAAAATAAAACAATAGCCTCGATAAATTGATCGATGTTTATAAGCCTTAAATCGGTAACACGTGACATTTGCACGATTAATTACTTATGTTTAAATCTAATATGAAATAACAGAAAAATTAATTACGAAAACAGCCAAACGTGCAAGATTTAATACCAAAACAGGTCTCGTTCAGAAATCAAAGACGCCTAGCTAAGATATGATAGGTTTTAATCTTGCTGTATTAGCATTATCTGTTGTTAGTCTTATCCGTTAATAAAAATCAATGATACTGGAAGGATTAACATTCTAAAATCNTGTTTAAATCTAATATGAAATAACAGAAAAATTAATTACGAAAACAGCCAAACGTGCAAGATTTAATACCAAAACAGGTCTCGTTCAGAAATCAAAGACGCCTAGCTAAGATATGATAGGTTTTAATCTTGCTGTATTAGCATTATCTGTTGTTAGTCTTATCCGTTAATAAAAATCAATGATACTGGAAGGATTAACATTCTAAAATCATAATCAGTACCGTTGTACTAATACTTAATCTCAGACGTTTCAGTAATCCCCACGTAATACTTTTTGTACGCATTCATGAGAATATGCCTTGTAAATAATAATTTATGGCGTGTCAGATAAATATGTATACGCCACTTTTGATATTTTTTGGGGTCGTTTAAATTTTATTTTCTATCACGAGCTCCGGATTTGCGGAAGGTATATTATCATTGTATATTGCCATCAGTGTGGTCCATTTTCCTTCACTGCTGAAGATCGTGACTCCGTAACACTCTTTCAACAGTATGCGTCCATTTGGTGAACTGTGTTGCTGGTAAGGATATCCATTTGGTGTAGGGTCTGATCCGTCCAATAAAAGAGCCTGTCGGGGCTCCAATTTCATGGCCTTTTACCTTCCACTTTCCTTATCCCCATTAACCGTTCCAAGTTACCAGGAATATTTCTGGCAATGTCCTAAACATAGCGGTACATGTCGTGGGCAGACTGATGACAAAGATTGTAAAAAAACACATATTGTTATATTGAGTTGTTTAATATATCTTTCTGCACAATTTATTGAGTTCGAGACTCTGAAGGCTCCGTAAGCTGTTGATTACGAGTATAGAAACGTTCAGTTAAGGTGGGGGGCTCAAAATTCTCGGAAGGAAATTGAAGTCGTCGTGGCCTAATTGATAAGACGCCCGATATACTCCAATCAAGAGTATGCTGGCATTCAAATAACAATCCCAAATACTTGGACTACCAACGATTAGGTATGAACAATATATTGACCAGCACTTTCCAGTTTTCGATACGAAGTTGAACATTTCAGTGCGAAAGTTTGCCATTGAGCCAGCGTATTGGTCGTTAAATTTCGCATTGTGACGTCTATAGTCTCTACTAAGCACGTAACATTAAAAACAATAAAAATTAATAAATCCCGCAAGAGCTGACGTAGTCGTCTTAAATATTTAACATTTAGCCTGCACGTAGACGGACCGTATCAAGAAGCGCTTTATCACAATCTTAACAATCCAGAATGGGTCATACATCATAATACATCACGGTGAATCTCGACGTCGTTGCGTTCTTTCGTATACGGTTTTTGTGCCATTTCGATAAAAATTGTCGCCAAGGAGAGAGATCACCTACATTCAACGAAACATTACATAATATCGTTCGCGGTACTAGCGCGCATAAAACATTCATCAACCTTCGTTTCTATCCGTACGTTCTTAGCGCTGTTGTGTTTGTTTATTGAATTTATCAAACGAATTTAATTTTCTGTAAATCGCGTGTCGAATAAATCTAATTCTTAAATCTCCATTATCTAATTACGAAATATCGAACACAACGTCATTGACTGCATCGATCAACGCTTTATCTAAATCGTTATTTATTATGTAATTTATATTTCAATAAATCTACAGAATCGACTCGAGGTGTAGTGATTACGTTTTTCTTTTTTCTTTTTTCCAACAGTATCTTCAGTATTAAATTAGTGATAAAAGTGAAAGTGCTAAAACGAACAGTATTGATGTAGCAAAGTGATAACACCGAGATGTCTAAAGAAAAGAATGGTTATAGTTAGTTAGGATGTCAGAAAGGTGACATACGGAGCTGGGCCTCCGGCTGCTGTGTGAAGACATACGAAAACATTCCTCTATTAAAAATTCTGACCCAGGGCCCGGTGGAAAACAGCAAGGATATCTGCAAAATGACCAAGGGCCCTCGGAAGGTGAAGCTAGTCATTGTAGTCAACAATAAGAAAGAGTGAGTATATATTTCTAACTATTTAGTTGTTAAGCCGTTGCACGCGAGTGCGAGTCGTCCGTGGCCCGACTAGCGGTGCGACCGCGTTTGGGTCTAACTCGGATACATTATAGCTATAGAAGCACTAAAGCTTTAGGTCGGGTTTTCTCGAGTCGTAGATATAATTACAACTGCTTTTACGGCTTAATTTCGCATTTGTTATTGTCATTGCATGTATTATTTCGCANCAAGAGCTGACGTAGTCGTCTTAAATATTTAACATTTAGCCTGCACGTAGACGGACCGTATCAAGAAGCGCTTTATCACAATCTTAACAATCCAGAATGGGTCATACATCATAATACATCACGGTGAATCTCGACGTCGTTGCGTTCTTTCGTATACGGTTTTTGTGCCATTTCGATAAAAATTGTCGCCAAGGAGAGAGATCACCTACATTCAACGAAACATTACATAATATCGTTCGCGGTACTAGCGCGCATAAAACATTCATCAACCTTCGTTTCTATCCGTACGTTCTTAGCGCTGTTGTGTTTGTTTATTGAATTTATCAAACGAATTTAATTTTCTGTAAATCGCGTGTCGAATAAATCTAATTCTTAAATCTCCATTATCTAATTACGAAATATCGAACACAACGTCATTGACTGCATCGATCAACGCTTTATCTAAATCGTTATTTATTATGTAATTTATATTTCAATAAATCTACAGAATCGACTCGAGGTGTAGTGATTACGTTTTTCTTTTTTCTTTTTTCCAACAGTATCTTCAGTATTAAATTAGTGATAAAAGTGAAAGTGCTAAAACGAACAGTATTGATGTAGCAAAGTGATAACACCGAGATGTCTAAAGAAAAGAATGGTTATAGTTAGTTAGGATGTCAGAAAGGTGACATACGGAGCTGGGCCTCCGGCTGCTGTGTGAAGACATACGAAAACATTCCTCTATTAAAAATTCTGACCCAGGGCCCGGTGGAAAACAGCAAGGATATCTGCAAAATGACCAAGGGCCCTCGGAAGGTGAAGCTAGTCATTGTAGTCAACAATAAGAAAGAGTGAGTATATATTTCTAATTATTTAGTTGTTAAGCCGTTGCACGCGAGTGCGAGTCGTCCGTGGCCCGACTAGCGGTGCGACCGCGTTTGGGTCTAACTCGGATACATTATAGCTATAGAAGCACTAAAGCTTTAGGTCGGGTTTTCTCGAGTCGTAGATATAATTACAACTGCTTTTACGGCTTAATTTCGCATTTGTTATTGTCATTGCATGTATTATTTCGCAACGTCACGCACGACTAAGTTGTTACCCGTCAAAATTTTATGTTTGCGCTAACTACCGTCTATTTTTTCTATAAAACATAATTCTACAATACTTCGTTTTTTTTTTGACACAGAACGCACTAGAGAACCAATATAAAAGCACCATTCAAAGTTAATTTTTTTTATTGCTTATATGGGTGGATGAGCTCACAGCCCACCTGGTTTTAAGTGGTTACTGGGGCCCATAGACATCTACGACGTAAATGCGCCACCCACCTTGACGTATAGGTAAGTTCTAAGGTCTCAAGTATAGTTACAACGGCTGCCCCACCCTTCAAACCGAAACGCATTACTGCTTCACGACAGAAATAGACAGGGTGGTGGTACCTACCCGCGCGGACTCACAAGAGGTCCTACCACCAATAATTACGCAAATTATAATTTTGCGGATTTTATTTTTATTACACGATGTTATTCCTTCACCGTGGAAGTCAATCGTGAACACTTGTTGAGTACGTATTTCATTAGGAAAATTGGTACCCGCCTGGGATTCGAACACCGGTGCATCGCTCAACACCGTCTGGTGCACCGGACGTTCTATCCCTTGAGCCACGACGATTTAAAATACAATTAAAAAAAATTTATGCTTGTTGCAAAGTAATAGTACTAAAACTAAAAAGTCGTAAAAAAAGTATCCTAATTGTTTGACTTTGTACACGTATGTATGTAAGTGCAAAGTCGACTGTAGCAGGATTACACAATTAACACGTAATGCTGTTATCAATTGTGTCACAAATTAGTATAAATAAGCGTGTCGTTTCAGCATTAGCAACGAGAATTGAGACATTTTTATGCGTATATGTCATTCGTTTGATACTACAAGCGTGGCGAGTGGCGGCTTCTATGATGAATAGCTTGGAGATGTTTAACGAATAAAGGAAAGATCTTCCACCGAGCTGGTGATATTTGCTCGGTAGACCGACGGTCCGAATATTGTTGTTTTTTTTTTTTTTTCCTACCTATGCTGATAGCCTTGAGAGGCTATTTCAGCGTAACCGTGGCTAGTAGGTGAGCTCTTGGGGCTCAAGCCTGACGACGATGCTAACACGAACCCTAGCAAGAGCCGTGCTTCGCAGAATCTACCACCGGATCGGAAACGCGACCCACTGAGAAGATCCGGCGAGAAACTCAGTGGGCTGTGTCTGAGAGTTAATTTACTCGTCGAGCCCTTCGTCGCAAGCGACGGGTTCGACGAGAATGGTAACCGGTGCTTGAAGTACCTAAAAGCACCGTTAGTGGATCGGGAGGATCCGAGATGACGTGTTTTGGGCGACGTCGACTGCTTTCCATACTCCGAATGTTGTTGTTCGGAACTTGTATATATGAAAGCTTATCTTGAAAATGTCGTAAGCGAGATTCAGGCATCTGTCAATTATCTTGCGTTGTATGATCGCTATCCGCCACAATAGTTTTCAAAATAGATTAGAGATGCTTCGTTGTGCTACACTTAATGAAACATTACATAGATTGGAGCATGCCTATAAGAGAAACCGTGTGTTGATTGTTTTTCTACTCACCGGTCGAGATGCGACTCCGTCAAAGCAAAAAGTTGACAGTTACCAATTTCTTTTCTACACAAACATATAATATAAAAGTAATAAATAATAGTTTAAAAAAACTAAATATTTTTCAGGATATCATCAAAATAACTTTTCTACTCATATCTGTTCATAAAATATTTATAACTAATGATACCATGCACCCTACGCTTTTTTGATACACTTTTATTAGCTTCAGACGTATGTATGTAACGGAATCTTTGAACATGATTTTAACCCCCTTCAAAACGTCTGATTAACTCGAAATTTGGAATACTTATCAGGGACCGATGACAATTCAATTTTAAAAAATAAATTGAAAAAATTGAATTCAACTAAAAAATGAAGAAATAATTAAAGAATTTATTTTAAAAAACCTTTTAACTATTATAATTTACTATTAGTATTAATGACAGTTTTTAGTTTTTAATCTCTTAATATGAATCGGTCAAAATGTAGAAACTGGACGTATTTTTAGGCCACAGGTTTCATTAGAAACTATTTGGTTTTTATAATATTTATACGGTCTTATTAATATAATGTATTCGTTCCTATGAAATATTTGATTGATTAAATACTCACAACGTCTTGTACAATTCAACCACGATCAGCCAAACCTTGAGTTTTACATAATTTGGATTACATGTAAAATAACGTAATTCAAGGCAATAATAAACTTTATTATAATTGTAATTGAATCAAAAGATCGTTGTCAACGTGTCGGATACTGTTCAGAAACGCCGGATGCAAGCTGTTTTGTGCCTGTCACGAGTTGTAATTAAGCTGATATTCCTATAGCATTTGCATATAATTGTTTTTTTTTTATTCCTACCTAAGCTAATAGCTTCGAGAGGCTATTTCAGCGTGACCTTAACTAGTAGGGGAGCTCACGGAGCTCAAACCTGACGACGTTGCTAAGACGAACCCTAGCAAGAGCCGTGCTTCGCAGAATCTACCACCGGATCGGAAACGCGACCCACTGAGAAGATCCGGCGAGAAACTCAGTAGGCTGTGTCCGTGGGTTAATTTACTCGTCGAGCCCTTCGTCGCAAGCGACGGGTTCGGCGGGAATGATGACCGGTGCTTGAGGTACCTAGAAGCACCGTTAGTGGTTCGGGAGGATCCGAAATAACGTGTTTTGGGCGACGTCGACTGCTTTCCATTCTGTCCGCAGGATCGGGAATGTAGTAACCGAGGGCTACGATGAGAGGGTTCTCGTGTCGTGCCGCTTTATCGAAGTGGTATAATTGTTATGACGTTCATTCATGAAGTTTTTTTCGTTGAGAAAATATTGTTAGTGTAACGTTTTTGTGTACTTAACTCGTGTATGGTTGCTGTGTGTGAGCAGACCATATCGCGATCTTGGTGTGAAGTGATTACTCTAGATATTGTGTCCATGTCATAGTGCGATATGGCGTCAAAGTCTCTCTAATATCGTCTAACAGGGGGCAGCCCGAAGCCGCCGTCCCCCCAAACTTGTCTTATCGGATCCCTTGGATTCACTCTCGGTGCTTTTAGGCTCTTCATGCACCGGCCACCGAACTAACCCACAGACACAGCCCACTGAGTTTATCGCCGGATCTTCTCAGTCGATCGCGATTCCGATCCGGTGGTCGATTTTGCGAACCACCGCTCTTGCTAGAGCTGGGGTTAGCAAATTCTCTCAGGCTGGGCCTATCTACCCGTCCGCGGATAACTGTAATATCCGCATAGGATACCAGCGAATAGATGTGAAAAAAAAAGAATTACCTAAAGAATGTCTCACGACAAAACTGTGATGCTTACAATTTACCCAAACTACAAGCTTAGGAGTCGAAAATAAATAAAAAATAACCATATGAAGACCTAACTTGAAGGGATGTAATCGATTAATAAAAATAGTAACACTAAGTAAGAGAATATAAAATTATAATAGCAAAAAATTAATTAACTTAGCCAATCTTTTAGACTTTTGATGATGTGATTATGTATGTATATAAGATCGTAAATTCGGATGAAAGGCGATTGCATGCAGCAGAGATGCGAATGTTGCGATGGATGTGTGGAGTAACGAGAATGGATAGAATACCAGGAAGTCTGAAAGTGGCACCTGTGACTGAGAAGCTAAGAAGTGCGCGTTTGGGATGGTATAGACATGTGATGAGACGAAATGAAAATGAGGTTGGTAAGAAAATGTTAACTATGAATGTGGAAGGATATAGAGGAAGAGGTAGACCTAAGAAGAAATGGATGGATTGGAAAGACGATATGGGTAAGAGGGGAGTGAGCGAAGAAATGGTATATGATAGAAGAGTATGGAAGGAGAAAACATGTTGCGCCGACCCCAGGTAAATGGGAGAAAGGCAGGATAGTGATATTGATGATAAGATCATAAATTCAATAATATTTTGTAATAGTATATTATCTTACGCAGCAGTAGAAGCGATAGATTCACAATACGCCCCACCGGTAGCGATCACGTAAATTACATAAACGCATTATTAATTTGAGTACATACAACTATCACGTGAAAACGCAAAGTCACTATAACAAGTCACCGTGACCACCGCTGATGGCGACCACTCTCACGCAGAGACACGTCCTTGGTCGTAGGAAGAGGGTCATTTTGTCGCCGGCTCTCAAGGTCGGTGGCGTGCGGATCGAGTTACGAGCGGACCGCTGTGACGCGAATGTGTTTTAAATTGACGCTGTCGCTTATTGTTTTATTATTGTACAGTCACTTCACACTCTTAGGTGTCAATCAGCCTTTCCCAAAGTGGGCGATAACGCCCCCTTGCGAGCGCTTGAGGCGTAAAGGGTAAGAGACTCAGAAAAAAATGGGGGCGTTGTGTAGAGGCCTGGGAGGCGATTTGTAACTTAATCTAGGATGACTCTTAGACACCGACTGAGCTTTCGCTATAGTGGTTTTTAAGTAGGTGAAAAAATGGGGGCACAAAAAAATAATTTATTCTCAAAGTGAGCAGTAGATGTTTGGGAGCCCTGGTGTAAATAAAACAAGTCAATTAAAGACTGACTCGGTTGTGCAGGAGTTAGCGACCCTAGCGGTTGCTCTGAGGGTCGTGGTTTCGATTCCCACATCAGGAAAACATTAGTGTGATGAACAAACTTGTTTGCTCTTTGTCTGGGTGCTTATCTATACTTCTATATTCTAATATATAAATCCACAGTGGTTTTTATGGATGTTCCGTTATAACTACT